CCTTTTCACGCCAAGTATCTGAACTAACATGGTTACAAAAATAGATGGAAAACGTCTAGTGTTTAATATGAAATTGTGTCAGCACCAGCTGAATCATACACGACTAGGAGTCCATGCTTAAAGTCATTTCTGACAGTCTCTATTCATATCTAAATAACTAAAAGTCATATCCATAAACTATAATTAATTTATTTATACATCAACTAATTATTTAGGTTTTGTGATATGAAAGCCTAAACTTTTTTTTCCCCCCACAATGTTACTTCTTTTGGTTAAGTAACACAAGACCATACCTACAATTTCTAATGTCAGCGAGGAAAACATTTTAAGCATAGAGCAGCATTGCAATTTTGAAAGCTGGTGAACAAACATTTTTCTAGCTCAGCAGATCAGAAATAAGTTTACTGCATTGTAGCTGGAGTTAGAGAAAAAATGATTTTTTGGGTGTATTTGAGTTTGTGTACACATCTATGAAAATACTGCTGTATTATCAGATTGATTTATGATAATGGCATTTTAAAGGCTATTGACCTTGGTGCAAATGATTAGGAGTACATTGTGTGTTCTAAAGAAAGATTTTTCAGGGAGAGCTCTGTTTACTGGCTATGTTTCTTTGTAAACAAAAGGATTCTATCATTTCCAGGCTAGTGCTGTACACCAGTGGGTGGGAAGACTCCAGACTTTCCTCAAAGACCTTCACCCAACAGAAGCACTTCATTTAAAAAAACCAACCAACCAAACAATAAAACCCAAAAACCAAGCAGACAAAAACCCAAGAGTACTAAGTGAGAAGAGCTGATGTGAGTTTCATCAGAGAGAGGACATACACCATTTGTGACCCAAAAAATTTATAGACACACACATGCATGTATATGAGCATTAGAAACATGAAAATGGCAGTCCAAGGTAGAACCCAATGGCAAAAGGAAGAAAAGGGGCTGCAGGAAGGAGCCTCCACTATGTGTAACCGAACAAGTTAAAGAAAAACTACAGACCCCCGTGGATGCCAGAGAGACACGGTTAAACAGAAACAGGCAGTGAAGTTGTGGTTCTGCTGCAAAGCAGCTGCTGTGTGACAACATCTGTATCACAAGTTACCTTTTTGCATTACCCAAAGCGCCACCTTGGTAACTCAGTATCTTCTGTGCAGCAATCACTTGTCACATACTCAAAGATAAATGTAGAATAGTTTAATGAGGTAATTATTAACATTAAATTGGTTCTAAACAATGCCATTAATTAACTGAGCGTTCAGCTTCTCCTTAATAACCTAAAGTTGCAGAATGCAGAGCCACGCAGTCACAGCCCCTCTGAAGAGCACTGTCCTGCCATAAAAGGCACACAAACAGCAACAGAGGACAAAGGCCATTAACAATCACTTATTTGTCCTAATTCAAGGACTGTTCTCCTCTGTTTGTTCTACTGCCTGGTCTAGCCTACGAAGTCTTGCTGACAAAAAAACACCTTTTCCTTCCAAAGGTTTGCAAATAGCCACATTATCATTTCATACCTTGGCCAAACCATTTCCTGTTAAATCTACCTGTCCAAAAGAGGAAAAATTCCCAAAAAGCACCACTGTCGTGGCAGCATTCAGAGTGCGAGCAGAGCCCCTCGGAGCTCTCACTGCCACAAATTCTTGCTGCAAAGGCACGACAAAAGCAGGGAAGGGGCTCACAGACATCAGCTGCCAGGAACTATCACAGTCCAAAGGCTCGACAAGGAGGGAAAGGGCTCCATGTGCCGATTCCGTACCAGGTTCTCACTTCACTTCCACAGTCCTTAAACACAGGTGTCCTGGGAAACTTTCTTATTACAAGTTACCCTAACGTGAGCAGAACTGGTTTTGCTGGTAATACTTTATACCAGTTCCTCAAATGAAACAAGCTATTCTAACAAAAGCGTGTTCCCTCCCCCTGCCCATCACTGCACTGTCACTATATCCGTAACAAAGATCTTTCCAGCATAAAATCATTAAAAATCCGAATCCTTCAATGACATTTCTAGGCTAGGTAACTTTCCTCATACAATCCTGGACTTGACTGTACTAAGACTTCGCCTAAATTAAAAATGTGTCCCAAGTTTAACTCAAGAAATACAAGAAAACTTTGTATTGTGGAAGAAATTATACCATTGTATTTGTACTCTCAAATGGCACAAACTGTGCTGTCACAAGCGCAGCGGTATCAGTACTGCTGCGATTACAGCAGGGCTTCACTCTAGCCATATCAGTAAGAAATCACCAACGTAAAGAACAGACTATTGCAATGTTAACATAAGAGGTGAGAGGAGGATGCCTCATCCCCTAAGACCCCAGACACTTGTTTCTGTAACATATGATGGGATCTTTCAGGGTCATGGACAGCTGAGGTTTGCAAACTTCTTTGAAACAGTATTTACTCTTTCTTCAAGGCCAAGCTGAAGAAACCCAGCTACCTAAACAGCAGTCAGCAAGCTCAGTCTCCATTGCCTTCAGCAGGTGTTCTAACAGCTCTCAGCCTAAATTTTATATAGAATCAGGGGAGAAAGGGGGGAAGGACAAAGCACAGAAATAAACCAGATCAGTTAATTTATAAAGAAACAGATAACAATTGATTATTCTCTATTTTTAAGTGAGCTGAGTTACACGGAATTGCATATGCATGATCATTTTTCAAAAAGTGAAAAGATGACTGTAGACCTTCGATCAGTACCACACAGGAGCTGCAACCCAGTCAACTCAGCCACAGCCACATGTCCCCACACCCAGAGCACCATCAGCTTGGCAGCCTATGTAAACCAGCACTGGCTTTAACATGCAAAGTGCTTCCTGCAGTGCTGTGTAGGACTAAACTACAGATCGAAGTATTCTCAGTATCAGTATCTATAAAGAAGTCCTTAACTGGTTTTAGGAGAAGCAGGACTGCAGTAATAAATCTGCTCACTGGAAGCATGAGTTGGAAGTTGTACCCTCCTGTCAGCGGGTTCACTGTATGATGCATTGTGGAGCTTTGGCTGCAAAGAAGCTGTAGCCTGCAGTTAATGAGCTGTTCGAAGTAGCTGTGAAACTGTCAACTTAATTAAGCCAAGTTTAGTTAACAGTCATCTTTCAAAAATCGCGTGTGAAGAAGCAGGCTCTGGAAGTGCCCAGCTATGCGCTGTAGGAAAGCACTGTGTACTTTCCTGAACAGAAAAATTAAGACCTCACACAATAAGAGATAGTGCTATTTCACAAAGCGTTTAAAGAAAGCCCCCTGGCTGTCCCAGCATGTTGTGAAGCTTCATAATTTCTTCTATTTTTATACAGTTAAGAAGCATAAGCACTTGAGAACAGTCAGTGACAGTATCTTAAGGTATAGCCTGACCTCTAGAAAGACATGCATGACTTGAAGGGAGAAAGGAGAGCCTCCTGAGGAAACCACCTTTGAAAGTCCAAGCTCTCAGCACGCAGTACTGAGTTCTGCAGATAGATGCACTGACATGGCAGCCATGATCCAATGGGTTTGCCCTTCTCAGATGAAGGCAGACAACTTCAAAGAGCATTAGGAAGACCAAGCTGCTCTATACTCCCTGAACGTATTTCTGTCCTTGTTGTTCATGGCTTTGAATAAGGACTTCAACACATACCACTGCCTTTCCTGTACCTTAACCAGGTTAGCATGTTAAGGACCCTGTCCAAGCTAGATTAAAAAATAAGATGTTAGGGTATACACCTTATAGTCAGGGGTTTGTATTCTATTTAATTTAACTGCAAGCTAATTGGCAAACACCCAGTACATACGTATTCCTCTGGACAGTCTGCTCACATCTGTTCTAGGACAAAAACATCTGCAGTAACCAAACTGATTATAGCAATCAATTAATCTGGGTTTAAACAAACCATGACCACTGGCCTTAGTTCATTCTCTAGTAGAGAGGTGAAGGTTTCCCAAACCTAACTTAGACTCTTAAAGATATGAAGACCTCTTACAGCCCCCAGCAGCAGCAGAGATGCAGTGCTGTTAGCCATAATCCTTTCACCCTAGCAATCTTCTGTCATGCTTTTCCCACTACATGAAATACTTTGTTGGTTTACCTTAAAAAAAACCATTAAACTATTTGAGAATGGGATATGGAGACCCCTCCTTAAATAGAATCTCCTAGAAATTCTACCTGCTGGCTTGGGACCTCCTGCTGTTGGGAAAATGATGAAAAAAAGAGTGCCAAGCTCACACCCAAATCTGCAAAATGGAGGGGGGGAAAAAAGGGAAAAAACCAACAATAAGGTACTGTACAGGTCCTTGCAACTCTTACAAAGTGGCATGAAGCTAACAGTAGTCAAGCATTTAAAGATTCCCAGGAGGTAACTCACGTGTATTTACTGAGTGTACTGTTACAGGGGTAAGGAGGAACTAGACCTTAAACAAAGTGATTGGCCACAGCCAGGGAAGCACCACTCTGCTTTCAGACATGCTCAACAGAACACACTTCATCCTGAAACAGAATAGCACCAGCACAGCGAATCCTGCCAAGTGGATGAACTGGGTACTTCGCTGAGCAGTCAGCTGGGGAAAAAATGCAAGAGGCCATTGAGCAGAAGTGTCAGGTTTCCTGAGGGGGTGATAGTTCTTCTTTGCAGGTCATCCGTGGAGAAAGGGCAAGAGACCACATGGCCTCATTGCTAAACACACACTTCAGGAAAGAACTGACTGCGGGAAACAGTGTCCTAGCTCCAACTGACGATGGAAAAATTTAGGAGGTTTCTCAACCTTTTAGGACAAATCACTTTGCAATAACTAGGTAAAGATCCCCATGGAGACAGCGAGACCTCCACAACTTACAAACAAAACCTGTCCCCACAGAGACATCAGAGTCAAGCACTGGACCCCACCACTCACACTCTGCGCTGGCCTCTGGTCTTGACCTCATGATTAAACTTAGGAGGCAGTGATAGAGCAGTGCAACACATCAGGGGAGGCACTCCTACCCCAAATACCTCCTGTCCCTAGAATAAAGGGTTGAACATCACAGCTACCTTGGAGCACCCACAACCTGCACTTCCTAGCACAGCTCAAAGTCTCACAGAAGAAATGAAGGAAAGTATTTTCATTCCCTGAACCTGCACCAGGTGTATTTCACTTCCACAGTCCTTAAAATTCTCTCATTTGCTTAGACTTTGTATACCAACTAAGCAAGGTTACCCCACAAAGCAAAATCTACCCCATGAATAGTGTCCCACAACCACAGCAGAGCACAGCAGAAGGAAGTTTATATTGCCCAAAGGGCACAAGAGAGTCTTGTAAGAGCTCTTAGCAATCTGAACAGCCAAGATAAAGTTAGGAGAAACTTCAGAGCTGTGTAACCTCCAAAAGTAAGTCCTTTTTAGTTTAATTGGCAAAATAAGAGCTGGTAATTTCAGCTCACTTTTTTGACAGTCCAGCTATGAATCTCACTGTAAGCAACTCACAAGAGAGCTTAGCTTTTTAAAAAATGTGAACTTCAATCACGCTTCTCTGAAAATTTGGTGTCTGGCAATTTTCCCATGGTCACACTGTGACTACGGGCAAAGTCTGGGGATCAAAGAAACGGTCAGACTTCCCATACCTCCTGCCAACCACTCTGCCCCACTCCCACTCTAAATTTGAGGCTTTACACTGATAGAAGAAAAAAAATCCAAATGTTATATAAACAGTGACAGCAGAATTGTATTTTTCAGTAGAATACCATAAGCTGTCACATCAATATTTAGCCCTAGGAACCAACAGTAAAAGAACACCAAACAAAATTCCATTTTACAATATTTGCCATCAAGACAGCAGGCTGACACTACTGCCTGTCCTTAGGGACGAATGCTGTCTTTGCCCTGTTCAGCAAGGCCAGGGATGAGAGGGACAGATCAGCTTCCTCACTGTTTGGGTTTGCAAAATCCTCTTTGCTTGGCTTTGAAATGTTTCATTCCTCTAAAACATCAATGTTACCCTGAGCTTTTTTGCCATCTGCAGGATACTCTGCCTTATGTATGGGAAAAGCACTAGCTTCTCTGGTCATGAAGTCCTCTTCAAAATGCAAACCCGTATTTGGTTACAATTCACCTCCCTTGCTTTCTTTTAAACATTTTTATCAGTTGTTCTGGGTATCTGCAGAAACAGATACATAAACGATCCACATAGATGGTGTTTTAGTGGTAAGTATGTGCTAACATCGGGTTGAAAATTAAACTCCCATTCAAAAATTTCACTCAAGAGTACATTTTTTCATTGCATTTTTCAAGTTAGCAACCAACTTCTAAGGAGATAAAACTAAAATACCATTAACATCATAACACAGGCCAAAATTGTGAAAAATGAGAAGTAAATCAGTACGTCCAGACTAAAGCCAGAAGAGGAACATGAAAAACTCTTCTCATTTTTGTACCTTTAAATAGATTTCTTGCATCTTTCTCCAAAGCACACACTGCTGTCTGCTGTTGGAGACACAGCCCTGCATTACACGGACACTGTTTGATCAGAAGGCAACCCTTATGTTCCTGGGTATACGATGGCCCTGATCCTGCATGACACATCATTAAGATCAAGTGATCAAGCAGAAAGACAGTGAGTTGGCTGAAGAACCGCACGCTAACCAGTAGCAGTCTGGTGGTTCTGATTTCAGCTCAGTATCACTAGTCCTGGCCACACCGCTGCACCACTACTTACTGAGTGAACAACTTTGACTGCAAAGCATCAGGCAACATAACACATCCCAACACACTTCAGATAAAAGTGGAGAACTACACAGGTACAAATACATAGGGAAAAAGCGCTTCTGAATGCCTGGAAATTCAAAGTTTTTACTCTGAGAGTCACTACTCTCAAGAACAGCAACAGATGCACGTATTTCATTTATGACCTGAAGCCACAGCCATTTATATTCTTCATGCAGCTACTGCTTGAGCACAGCCCCCACTGCTATATGAAGGTGCACCTCTCGAGCCCACAGACTGTAATGGGGTCAAAGGACTGTCATTTTAGTCAGAACCTGGCCCACCAATAAACCTCTTCAATATTTGAAAATAATTCTTTGCTTTGTTCTGAAAAATAAAACACAGATACCTCGTCAGCAAACCCAGTGCCATCCACACTCCAGTGTATGGCAGGGCTCTGGATTCCAGCACTCGCAGACTTACATCTTGATAGTCCTCCTCGGTTGAGATATTTCTCACCGAGTTACCACTCATGGAGCAGTGCAACTTTACCAGGCAGTTACACTGCAGCAGAGTGCAGGGCAAGGCACTTCTGCTTCAAGTTACCAAAGCAGTAGGTGTGGTTGCCCTCGACCATTTGTGGAATTTTTCACCAAACATCAAGAAAAAAAAACCCTTAAAATTGAACGAAACAGCAGACAGTATCCCAGAAAGAGGAAATACGCATCTGCAAACTCAGTCATCGTGGCTGAACCCTGATCTTCACCTACCTACCTACCTATCACACAGATACAGCTGTGCTTTTAAAATCTCGGATTAAAACCACTGTTGTAAAATAAGAGTTCTACACTTCAGTGTCAGAAGAGACGCAGTCCAGATGATTCAGTATGAATGAGAAACATCATCCATCTGACAGCGCAAAAGTGTAAATACTCAAATACAGGAAGACTGCTTTCAATGTAGATACAGGTTCTTTTGTTGTGCTTTAATTCAAATATTATCACAGTTTGTTTCAGACAAGACCCTTATAAAGAAGGTTTACTTACTGAGGTTATTTGTCTGATTAAATTTTATTAGAGATAACAGAGACTCAAACTGAAAGACAGAAAGCGATGGTAAATGTGTAACTATTAAAATACGTTGTCTTTTAGTGGCAACTAAGATGGGGCCTTAAAGTTTCCACCACATCCCAGTAGGGAGCTAAAGGTCATTGCTAACTCAAAGCTAAAAACAATGGGAAGCAAAGGATGTCATTCTTTCATATTTGCCCAGTGATTCTGTGGTTTCTTTGTATGGATTTACTTAGGAAACTGGAAAATCTAAAAAACAATGAAAAGATTTCAAGGTTACCATTTTTCCATTAACAATATCAGAAATCTATTCATGTCACTAAGTAAAATATTTGATCAGTAAAGAAAAATACCTCTTACTTAAAAAGGTTTGGTCTTTCCAGGCATGTAAAATGTTTGAAGTTTCCTGTGCAACTTTCAAATTAATGTGCAAAATAATTCTGCTTTTGCAAAAAGAGTGAACTGTCATTTCCATAAAGAAACAGACACAACTTAAGTCAGTTCTAAAATATTACTTAGCAGATTAATTTCTATGCTGATTTTAAAAATTTTAAAAATCCTTGAAACAGTATCTATTTAAAAATCTATGTAGCCAACAAGGAGATTGTCTTTACACCAACAAAAACGCGTCATCCTCATTTCTAGGAACCTAGTACTCAAAATCTGTCTATCATGTATCAAGCAGCAGGACTAAAAGCAGTGTCTCCTCCTTCTTCAAGTAAAGATGGAAATTCTAATTGAGTCCCTCACACCAGAATCAGACTTTTTCATTAGCAAACGTACTTTATTCCTCAAATTTCTTTCAAATCTTGAATATTTCTTTTTAATTCCAAGATCTTTTGCTTTGCAAGGACATTAACTCTTGACATACATACACAGACTAACTTTAAGCATTTAAAACACTACCAACAACCACCTCAAATCGCTTTGTCAACCACATTCAAAACAGACGTAACAATTCATGTCAATGCATTTCCACGTCAAAAAGCAGGTTCTAGTCCTCCTCCTTTCTCCTGAAACAAAGCCATGTATCTGGGAGCTGGTTTACAGGATGCCTTTCACTTTCTGTAGAGTGACAGACTTGGAGATTTTGGAAGGAAGTGGAAAGAAGGGCCTGGTAGTCTGATTTGAGGCCAACAGGTCAACTCACAGTAAAAGGGGATGGTCTGGAAGAATGCACAAATTAGAGACTCCACTACTCAATTTCACAGCATGTGTACCATCATTTATTACATTTTGGCCTTAACAGGGACTTCAAGAAAGAACCTAAAAGGAACTGGATGCCAAAATCTTTTTGAAAAGCAGAGGGCTTTAATACATCACTTTCTTGATGCTTTTGAAAACTTCAAAATCTGACTCTGGGCAATAAAACTATTTAGTACATCACCCACATTAAAGTTATTCGAATTGCATCTTGTCATCCTGTGCCAATTTAAACTGCAGTTAAATGAAGATACCTAATTACATTACCCATATGGACAGCAGTGTGTAGAATGTCACAGGGCCAAGCAAATTTGCAGTGAAGCTCCCCTGGGTGAAGGGGTCTGACATGTAAAACACTGCAGATTACATAGAAAACTGTGCTTTGGACATGAAATTGCACTTTGTGCCCAATCCCGGAAACATCGCTAACAAAGCTTTAATTCCATCCACGGCTAGTAACACAGCTGACCATGTGGCTGTACCTTACCCACAGACACCACCAAAACAGAACACAACGCCGAATTGTTCTCCTGCCTATGCAGGGGCTCCTGTGGTCCCCTGACAAAACGACAGCTTGCTTTACACTCCTACTGAAAGAATTTCACCTTGAGGCCAGCCTGCTCATTACCATATTTGCTTCAAGTTTCTTTCACTTCTTGCTGAGAGCTAATAAGAGCTTTAGCCTTCCATATCTCTAAATATTTATTTCCTCTTTGAGGACTCATCTGAAAGTCAGTTGGCATTCCAACTGCTCAAAAAGTGGAATATTTTCAGTGTATTGTTACTAGTGCTTAAGAAACGCAATTCTGGAGTCTGTTCTCAAGGTGATAGCCAAGAGAGGTGAACAGAAGTTCACACAATAAAGTAAAACAGCAATTTATCACTGTTGGTAGTGGCAACTGTTCGATATAACAATTTCAGTGGATGTTGAAAATAAGTCTCATTCAAACACATCTCGTTTTCCTGACGCGGACATTCACCAGAACATGAGGAACAGATACTAAAGCACGGACTACAGGAAGAAAATCAGCTTCCAAGCAGTATTTTTTTCTAAGATTCAAATTAACTGTGACCAGCTTTCTTAATGAGACATTCTTCATATTCACAGAGATTGTAGGGATCTTCTAATTCTCATTGTAGACATCTTCTAAATCCATTGAAGTATCTGCAAGTGGGTATAACCATTTCATCTCTTTAATTTATATTCAGACCTAGCATTTTGGATGTAACATCTGAATTGCTGTCACCTTGACTAGCAAGGCAGTGCTGGTAACTTGCACTGGAATTTCACACCCCCTGTAACACTGGGAACAGTAGAAAGGGAGGGAGAATTAAGTGGATCACCTCCAGTTCTTCTGCCTGACTTATAAGTACATTTACAACTGGAAAATTCCTCACTGTGGATATACTTATAACTCAGTCTGAGCCATAGAGTTAAGAATACAAAGGGTCCACCACAGTAGGATAAATACCCACACCTGTAGAAATAAAGGCTTATTTTTAATACTTCCCCTATTGACACATTCAGGTGGCAGAAAAGGAAAAGCTTCAAAATTAACTACCTAAAATAGCCAGGGAAGAGACACAAAGCAAGCAAAGAACAGGGGCAGCGAAGAACAATGCAAAGGGCACGGAGAAGTCAGCATTTTGTGTCTGGCAGATGAATTTACAGCTGAAAGGAGCTGCAGTGATGTTTTTATCAACAGTAAGTACTCCAAAAATTCAGGGTCTAACATTGCTCATCTCAGTCACACAAGAAATTGCCCTCCGATGCAGTGACACATTTTGCATGAGTTGGTTTGCACGACCAGAAGAGGTACCAATAATGCTGCTTTAAAAATTGAAAACACACCTTGTGCTATCTCAGTAGCACAGCGATCTATATGCTGGGAGTGATTTACAGTTTGGTTTTTATCGAGTTCACACTACAAGCAACAGAAAATTAAAAGGTAAAAATAAAAAACACACTTAAATATGAACCTAGTTCACATGTTACCACATCAGTTCACTTCGTATGACTTAAAAATTAGACTCCCATCCCCTGGAGAAAAGAGTTCGTGCCTTGCAACAACAGCACAAAAAACATCAGCCTGAAAGTCTGGAGCCATCAAGACTGAAGAAAGTTTGTGCAGCTCAGTGTGGGAAGGATCCTCTCAGTGGGAGCAGGGATCTCCGAGCAGGAGGGCTGACGTCAGGGGCAGTGGGAGGGAAATGGTGATGGGGGTTTGTCGGGAAAACGATTGCGGACGGTTTCAGTGGGAACGGAGGAATCAAGAGGGTGGATGGCCTCGGTGGAAGCGTGGACAGTACATGTGGGAGTTTCAAAGGGGGGAGAGCTCGTGTGTTCCGAGGGAAAGGAATTACCAGACAGGCAGGAAAAGAGCAGGCAGCTTAACGGACTAAATCATGTGCTGTTAACACTGAACCGAGATCCACTTCAGTGCTGCAGGTACAAACTGAGCGTACAGCCTCCTGTATACAGAATTATGCAACCATTGGTTTGCAGTGACTGTAAATTCTTGGGCAGTTTCACAGGGCTTGAATGAAGAAAACTTACTGGCTGTAGGCCATGGATTTAAACTGGCTGTCCTGTATCAGCTGATAAATCAAGAGACTACTTCACACTTTGCTCTGCTGCCTTAAGACTACTTTAAATTTAAAATAAAGGAAGTTTAGATTCACTCTCTGATCCTCTTGTACCCAAATGCACATATTTCTGTGTTAAGTAGACATGAGAGAAGAGGAAGGAAATCTCACATACGTAAAAGAATGACAGAGCAAAATAAATGTGCAATAGATGGGCTACAGTGTACATTAGTGCACTACAGAAGAGTGACACACACACGTGATGTTGGAACAGCATATGCTGTTTTAAATAAACACCCATGAAGTCCTTATACCATTCCAGCATTCCCTCCATTTACGCTACAGATTAAACAGAAGCATTATTCTAAAGGTGTTTAAGCAGGTTTCTATAAAGCCAGGTACATTTACCACAAATTCAACACCACAAGCATCTGAAGAAGAAAATCATAGCTAATATATATGAAAAAGACAGATTATCGCAATTTTGAGTCTACTTTCTTGACATTTTTAGAGCTAAAAAGAAAAAAAAAATCAGGAAAACTGTCTGTTGCAACAGTACTGGGTAAGTGTCACATTAAGAATATCAAATAACACTGGATTATCAAACCCCACTGTCACTGTTGGTACATCTAAGCCTTGCTTGTCTTTCATTGGGAAAAGTACAGCATTTAAACTGTGCAGTTGATACATCAAAAATTAAGGGAACAGTTTTCATGGCTGGTTTGCTTTTTAGACACAGCACTTACTCCAAGCTGCTCATAAATTTTTGAATGAAGGCCATGTATGAAATTACTAATTAAGGAGGGAGATGCAGGTGCCACAATCAAATGCATTTAATTAAAAGGGCTTCTCCGTTTCTCATATACTACTGCCATACTCATATATACTAGAAATAAGTATTATGGCATCTATCTCTGCACACACACACACTTGCAGGACTGCTCTGCAACTCTGCTATGAATAAACTTAGGTTCTTCCTTATTAGGAAAGAACAGGTAACTTGTTTACCTACAGTTTGTAAACTGATGCAAATCACAAAATATAGTATGCTCACACCACACATCCAGAAAATGATCCTCTGCTATTTGACCAGAAGAAAGACATAATGAGATATAAATATAAAGCCAGACTAAGTCAGGGGGCTAATTAGCAATATATATAATGCCATTTTACAGTTAGCATGGGATATATTTTTATGACACTTTCTGACTCGAAAAGTGTGCACTACAGCCAACAAATCGATTCAATAAAAGTTATTGCGCTACCTATTATACATATTTTAATTAACTTAATGCTAATGCCAGCCAAAGTGAAAATATGAGATTTACACGTGGGCCAAGTTTTGTCCTTAGCTCGCACATAGCACTTTCTTGGCTTTAATCTGTGTGTATACAACAAAAGAATTTGAATTAATTTCAATTAAAGTGCCCTGAAACCAAGTGAAAATGCCATTCAGGCAGGTTACTGACTATTCACATAAATTCTGATGACACCACTGTTAACCAAAGCACAAAAGGTCTGCAGCACCTTCTGTTCACGTTAGGGTATCCCAGGAGCCACAAAGGGTGCACCATGCACTCCACACTCTAGTAGCACCCTAATTCTTACAGTCCTTCCTCAAATCAAATATCCTTTTAACTCCAGAACAGCACAACGTCCTGCCCAATGCCCCTTTTGACTTCAGGGATTTCAGGCTCCTGTCCCTTATCTTCGATGTTCGAACACTTTTTCTTTCCAGACAACTTCACTGCAGCGTGAAAGCTGCTCTCCAGGGGTAGCGTAGCCTCTCCCCAGCACAATCTCTTGAGACGACGTGGTTATTTCGCACGCTAAGAACTGTAAATCTGATCATACTACACACGCTAACAATAAAAGCAGAGAATGAAATACCATGCTGCTTTACAGCTCTAAAGAGTATTACAGGATTTTGCACATGAAAATCGTGCAGATGTGGTGTGGCCAACAGATTTTGTATTCAGCTTATCACAAACAGAATTCCACTCTCATCTCTCAAAACCCATCCTTTCACAGCAATGTGCTTAGAGTAATGACAAGGGCTGAAAATAGGACTGAGTGATAAAAATCAGAATGACTGCCAATGAGGTTACAGTATGCATATGAACCGACGTCAATCGTATAGCATCTGGGTGAATGATCCAAACCTACTACCAAGAATTTTACAAGATTCTTGAATTCAAACAACAAAATTTAACAATTAGGACTGCTTCCCAGGCATGCTTCCAGAAAAAGGGTTTGCAGGGGTTTTTTTCCCCATAAGCATGCACAGAGAAGACAAATCCACATAATATAAATTTTAAAAATATTTTTTGCTTAGATTTTCTAAAGTGCAATTCTAATCACAATTAAAAAATCAGGTAGTAAAACAATTGTCAGGATTCTGATGCCAACTTAAGTTCCCTTACTGTGGTCACCGTGTTAAATATGCCGTAAGCACGTCTATCGTGTGTGAACAGGGCTGTAAACTTCGGCTTCCTGTACAGCGTTATCAACACAAAAATTTAGTGTAGTGTAATACCATTCAGCTTCACGTTCTGCCTTCGGTGTTACTAATTCCTCCTCCAACTCACACCTTACAAAGTGTCTTCTCATTTTCCAGACTTTCAAAACTCCTATCAACTGGCATTTACTAAATCTGGAGGAAAACAATTGAAGACAATCACCCACAGCACTGAAGACAATTATTCCAGGTCAATACTCTAGAAGCCATCTTAATGAGCATGTAAAAATCCTAAGAAAACTACAAATCATTAGAGTTTCTGCAAGTCTGCAAAACACTTGACATGTAGCTAGTTCTTGCCTGCATCTCAAGCCCATACCTTATATTTACGGCATGTGTATCTCAGTTCTCAACACCACAACCCAGAGCAGATCAGCCATGTTATATAATATCCCCTAGGCTGCTACAATTTGTTGGGGTTTTTTATTAATATATTTGCAATTACTTATTTTTACAAAATGGAGATAGTTCCCCTCCCAAAAAAAGCAAAGATATAAACTAATCAAATCCTATAGCATTAGGAACAAATGTACAACCCATAAACAAACAGGCCATCAATAGAAAGTAAACAGGCAACCAAGCACTCTGTACCAGTAACTTGCTCACTTTAAAAGGAAAAAAAACCCCACAAATTACATTTTTCCCCAGTATGTCTATCAACTTCATACAGCCTTGTGTTGTATCTCTACACAAAAGTACACATGCTAACACACATGCAAAAAAACCTCAAAAAATACCCTATTTGCAGCAACAGACAAGGTCAACAAGTTGTTAATGTAAATCAGTACCCAGAGCAAAAACCGCTCGCTCTCCTCTCAACTTTCTGAATGGAAGAGCTATGTAAACTGATCAGCCCAGCCAGCAGATCTTCACACTGCGATCTGCCTCTGCTTCCAAACAAGACAAGCACAAACAACTGGACGACCCAGCACAAACAAACATGTAAAACACAGGAGCCGGTGGCTGTGCCTCTCCCATGCACAGCACAGTCCCACCACGGACAGACAGACGGGCCCTCCGCGTTCACAAGCAAGACCCATGTCCCTGGCTCTAGCGATTGGTGAGGACAATTGCACCGCTCTCCTTCCCAGCATTAGGAAAAACTCATTTTGTGGAACGAAGAAAGAGGCTTGGGTGCATCTATAAAGTCATTCCATGAGACTGATTAGTTTACAAACGAAAGTAATAGTTCAAGCCAGGAAAAGCTCCCCCACAACGTATCGCCTCGGCAGGGAGACTCCTTGGGTTAAACCGCTACAAGCAACTCCTGTTCTGAGAGAAACACTGCTTATGTTTAGCACCCTTTTTACCTTAACACTGGATCTGCTGGTCTGGGTCTCTGCCTCCATGCTCTGGCTGTTCTCCCTCTTGTCTTTCTTAGAGGAATTAGTCCTCACCTTATAAGTGGATGTGTTGGAGGATTTAATGAATAATCCTGGGACGGGGTTGCCTTGCTGCTGTTGAGACATGGTTGTGTTGGTCTGGTGAGGGGAATTGCACTCCTCAGACTCTTTGCTACTGTGATAGACCACTCTGCTGTCAGAGATGTGGATGCTTGGAGCACAGCCCATGCTTTGTGGCCACCTGGGGAATACTTCTAAATTGTATATATATATTTATGTGTATATATATATATTTCTTTCCTTCTCGTTGGTTATTTCCCTCTGCTTAATTTTTTGTTAACAGGTTGAATCTCTTTCCTGCGTCTCCGCTACACTCTGAAGCATTGCCATCGGTCCCTTCTACACCACCAGAAAGGTGTCTGTTCTCGTCCTCCAGGAAACGGGTCCTTTTCTCTCAATCTCAGCAGTGGGCTGGGGAGCTGGAGGGGAGGGAAGGGGGGAGATCAAGAATCGGTCGACTTCATATTTTCACAGATTATTATTAATTGTTCTAAGCCATCTGAGAATCTTGGTAGGATTTTCTTTCCTTCTGGGGGAAAAAAAAAATAAAATAAAAAATAAAAAGGAGGGGACGGAAGGCAAAAGCAAAAATAACTAAAAACCCCCAAGCCCCAAACCACACGCACACACACC